CAACCAGGTATCAACCAGGCTATGGTGAGCCCGCAGTGGACTTACCTGGCACAGGAGCGGTGCTGTCGGAATGTCACCCTCCAGCTGAATCTAAATAGCATCAATGAGACTCCACTTGCGCTAACCACGCTGTGCATTCCCGGTCCCATTACTACACAATGCGCAGAGAAATTAGTGAAAGATGACGTGGCTGGATGAAAAACGACTTGGCCCCCTTCCTAGGACAGACTGGCGAGGTAGATGGATGAATGCAGGACGGATTTAAGCGGGACCCGCTTAGTGAGGACTAACATGCTCAACTTAGCCAGCCTATTCGTTAAAAAAAAGTATCCGGAAAATATATTAAAAAATAATACCTGGTTGATACCTGCTTGTTCTGGGAGTTCTTCTACTCCCCAAGCCCGGCCCGAGGCCAGACTTGACTTGAGAGTTTGGTCCACCAGGCTGTTGCTTGGAGCGGCCCGCAGACCCACCACAGCCCCGGTTGGTCTGGCACTCCTTGAAGGAAACAATCTAGTTTCCTCTTGAAGAATACCGGTAAAAAATCTGTACAAAATACGAGGAAGACTGACCTGGGAATGAGGAGGTTCTTGGTGGCTTTGGTGTGGCGTCGCGAGGTGTTGGTGGTCCTGGGGGAGTGGACCGGAGAGCCCGGGGAGGCGGCCAGCCCCAGGGGAGAGCCCGGGGCGGCAGGGTGGGCGTTCTGCTGGTGAGTTGGGCTGGTGGTGGGCGTGGTGCTGGTCGGGGTGGTGGGCGAGAGCGACGACACCGGCGAGCTGCCCCCCGACGCTGACAAGGGGCGGGCATTCTCCTTCTGGCTCGCGCTGTTCTCCCGCACGTACGTCTGCAACAACAACAACAACACTATGTAAACACCGAAGTATAATGCAGGCGATGAGTCACAATAACGTGGCTAAAGTATGATGACAAGACCACACACTAGAAGGTGAAGGGACGACGACGTTTCGGTCCGTCCTGGACCATTCTCAAGACAATCGACTTGAGAATGGTCCAGGACGGACCGAAACGTCGCCGTCCCCTCACATTCTAGTGTGTGGTCTTGTCATCACCGAAGTATAATAACACAAGCAGCAATCTTCAAGAGTCAAGCCAATAGTAAAGACAACAACGACAGCAACCAACAAGAACGCTGCAAACTACCTGGAGGTGCGTACTGTACTCCTGAGATTGATTGACTGAAGAAGATTAAGCCACACTTTCGCGCTCCGTGGAAACTCGCGGTTGACAGGGGGATCGTGGCCCCTCCGTGCGGGTAAGCGCGCGGTGACACTCAAATGTGTATACTCGTTCCAGTTTTCTCACCTTAATTCTCGCGCTACGTCGCTCATTCTGGTATCATTGTGTTCGCAATTAAATTCTCTACAGGTGTGTATAAATATAATGTCCAAAAGCCTAGCGTGACTCCCAACAGCAAAGCGTAAAGTCGGCAAAAACGCACAAAATCAGTAACATGTGCATTCTCGTTCCATTTTTTTACCTTAATTCTCGTGCTACGTCGCTCATTTTGGTATCATTGTGTTCGCAATTAAATTCCCTACAGATGTGTATGAATAAAATGTACAAAAGGCTGGAGTGCCTCCCCGCAGAAAAGCCTAAAGTTACCCATGAACGAGCACCATTTTGTACATTGCAACCTAATGTTCAACTCGTTCAATTTGATAACATCAAATTTCGTGCTACGTCGCTCGTTTTGGTATCAAATTGTTCGCAATAAAAAGGCGATTATTTTAAAACTAGTCCCAGAATAATAGAGCAATAACTGGATTTTTAACAAATATTTTAATTCTGGACGCTAATCATCACAAATTTATTTATATCTTTCCAGTGTTCTGACATAAATATTTGTGTTACATCTTTCATTTTGGTATCAAATTGTTCGCAATAAAAAGGCGCACATTTTAAAACAAGTCCCAAGATAATAGGACAATAAATAGAATTTTAACAAATATTTTAATATTCAGACCATAGACCTATTTATAATATTTCAAGTGTTTGGACATCAAGTTTCATGTTATATCTTTGATTTTGGTATCAAATTGTGTGCAATCTAAAGGCGCTTATTTTAAAACCACTACCAGATTGATCTGATAAAATTTAAATTTTTAAAAAATATTGTAATGAGTGACGCAGTATTGCGTCGTTGGAACACATTCAGTAGAAAAATAAATGACGAATTATTCAGTCTGTGGAACGCGAAAGTGTTAAGCCACCCCCAAGAGGTGGCACGGGCATGAATAGCCCGTGAGAATATATATACATGCTATAACAAACTTATGGCCACGGGAGACATCTCCCGTCACGCAGGGTGCAGTCGCACCTCCACAGATCTCCAGTATCAGCTCTTGATACTGGTAATGGCTCAAAAGGGCCACCACTTACGGGCTATTCATGCCCGTGCCACCTTTTGGGTGGCTTAATCTTTATCAATCAATCAACTTATGGCCACGGGAGACATCTCCCGTCACGCAGGGTGCAGTCGCACCTCCACAGATCTCCAGTATCAGCTCTTGATACTCGTAATGGCTCAGAAGGGCCACCACTTACGGGCTATTCATGCCCGTGTCACCTTTTGGGTGGCTTAATCTTTATCAATCAACTTATGGTGAGAGGTTTGACCCCTTCCCATTCATACATGCCCAAAACATTAAATATGTATTAACTTGCTACAGATAATAAAACGTGGTTGACATTTACAAGTAAAACGCCAAGTCCGCCCGCTCCTGTGCCAGGTAAGGTCACTACGGGCTCACCATAGCCCGTGCTACTTGCCCCGCTCCTGTGCCAGGCAAGTTACGGGCTCACCATAGCCCGTGCTACTTGCCCCGCTCCTGTGCCAGGCAAGTTACGGGCTCACCATAGCCCGTGCTACTTGCCCCGCTCCTGTGCCAGGCAAGTTACGGGCTCACCATAGCCCGTGCTACTCGGAACTTGTTCAGAGTAGCTTAATCTATAACAACAACAGCCAAGTCCGCATAATACCACTCACAGTCCAGAATGCAAGACAATGTGATTTTAATTATCTAACATTTATGTCTTGTGTCCTGTCACATCTGAGTAAGACGCCGAAAGGCAGCCATTCCGGATCCCTCCTAGATCACCTCTTCATTGATTGATTGATAAAGATTAAGCCACCCAAAAGGTGGCACGGGCATGAATAGCCCGTAAGTGGTGGCCCGTCTGAGCGATTACGAGTATCAAGAGCTGATACTGGAGATCTGTGGAGGTGCGACTGCACCCTGCGTGACGGGAGATGTCTCCCGTGTCACCTCTTCACTCGTGTTGATGATGATATCCTCATGTTGCATCCGGAGTATGGCAGTGCAGACTGCCTATCACATGTCTCTGTATGACTAAGGATCCTGTGTGATGGGGATTTGTTAGCGTCACGTAGCTAGCTTTTTTGACACACTGTACTCACCTTCATATAGTCTAGCGTAGCTGCGCAAATGCAGATGTACCTAATATATTAATTAATAAAAAAGGGGCTCGGCCGCCAGTGAGGGACCGACACCACCAACCTACGGTAATATTAACGATTCAGAAACCACATTAAAAAAAAAGCCCCCCCCCCTCCCCTACCCACCACAAGCACAATACACACCTTACTTTGAAGTTAAGATCTCCACCCCCCCACCCACCCCACCGTTTCCTAGACCCACAAAACGGATATCTTAACACTCATTATACACTCTGGGCCGTTGTACCCTCATTATATACTCTGGGCCGTTGTACTCCCACAACTACTATTTAACCACAATGTATGAAAAAAATGGGGGACAGCCAAGACACGATTTTCCCAGCACCTATATTCTCGTTGATATGAAGGCGGAGTCCCGCGGGAAGAACCGTACAACCCGTCCTCCTCATAAATCGTCGCATTTTGACCCATACTCTAAGACCAGAAATTATCGTACTAGAAAATGGTAGCGTCTCGCGAAACTGACGTACTGGCTCGTTTTCTGTTTTGGGTCCTCTGGTAGGTTAAGATAAGAGGCACTTTAGTACCATAGTTTCTTCACTTTGGGAATCCTTAGGAGGACGGGCCTGACATACAAGCCAACTGCCCTGCGTCCGCTGACACTCCCACCGTCCCCCCCAGAGGTCCACTGGTATCCCATGAACGAACGCGTGGAGGGCACACATCGCCTAATACATCCAACTTCCTACAGCGTTAAACAGCTCAGAGTTACGTAGTGAACGTCCTAATCCAATGACTGACCCAACACCGTGTTTGGCTACCGGCCGACGCATTCCGACAAGGACCTGCCATTCACAGCCAATTCCCGTGAAGACAAAAGCTCTCCAGTCAGCCAATACACTTGCGAATATGAAGACAAATCGGCAACGCCACTAATGGTCTCCGGGTGCGTGATGTGTAGGTTATAGCTGTCTAAAGCTCCTGAGACTGATGGATGCCTACTCCTCCTCTAGCTGTCTAAACCAGTGGACATGGACATGTGCAGAGGAATCATTGACCTCAAGAATGCTATCCGCCAATAGCCCCCGAGGTACGAAGATGAATATTGACCTAAGCTAATGAGAAAATGTATACATATGAGAACAATTGACGGTGACGTCAGTTTCATCCAACTGCCAGCAAGCTGGAGCGATCAGCTGCCAACGTAAACAATGACCTTAGCCAATCAGCGTTAACACTGTGGTTATCAGCTGGTGGCGCCTTTGAGCTGCCTGGCGCCACCACCAGCCTCGAAATACGTTTATTGTTTGTGATGTGCGTATATGTGTGTATTAACACGATGTACTGAACGGGGTGAGAATAGCTTGAGCTACCTCATCCCTTTGTGTGTATTTTACCTCAATAAACTTACTTCAATTTCAACCAGCCTCGCCTCCTCAACACACACCAAACATGCTCTCTAACACACTATATCTTCACATAAATATTTCTAACGCGGGAGGACATCTCTTAACAGTTTTAAATATCTACCTTGAGCAGTACTGCAATAATAAGCCATTAAACAACCCACACGACGTTCAGGTGTTGTGACTCTACAACACTGATTAAGTTAGTTATTAATTATTTAAAGATACCAAACTCAATTTTACGGTCAACGGCAAATATATATATATATGTCGTACCTAGTAGCCAGAACGCACTTATCAGCCTACAATGCAAGGCCCGATTTGCCTAATAAGCCAAGTTTTCATGAATTAATATGTTTTCTCTAGTTTTTTTCTTACGAAATGATAAAGCTACCCATTTCATTATGTATGAGGTCATTTTTTTTTAATGGAGTTAAAATTAACGTAGATATATGACCGAACCTAACCAACCCTACCTAACCTAACCTAACCTATCTTCATAGGTTAGGTTCGGTTAGGTAGCAGAAAAAGTTAGGTTAGGTTAGGTTAGGTTAGGTTAGGTTAGGTAGGTTAGGTAGTCGAAAAAACATTAATTCATGAAAACTTGGCTTATTAGGCAAATCGGGCCTTGAATAGTAGGCTGATAAGTACGTTCTGGCTATTAGGTACGACATATATATATATATTATATATATATATATATATATATATATATATATATATATATATATATATATATATATATATATATATATATATATATATATATATATATATATATATATATATATATATAATATATAATATATATATATATATAGCAATGCGGATGAAAAGTCACAATAACGTGGATGAAAAATGTTGACCAAGCCAGATTCACTAAAGCACTTACGCAAGCACTTGCGAGCCTGTACATCTTTTCCCAATCTTTGGTGGCTTTGTTTACAATTATTAAACAGTTAATGAGCTCGGAAGCACCAGGAGGCTGTTTATAACAAT